TGCCTGGAGAAGTACCCTAAATGGAGGATGAGAGAGGCGGGATTAAATATCTTCTTTCAAGGGAAGAAGAGATTCTAGAAAGTAATTCCCCAGAATCTCCAGGGTTAGGGCCCAAAAATGTGCTCTTTCTTTAACCTACAAAAATCCAGGTGATTGTGATTTTCATGCAATCCCCACCACCCGACCCCCCCAAGTCCCTTACGCACCTGGGGTCTCCTCAGTTCCTAAGAGCAGCCTTCTCTCCTTCCCTCAATAAACAGCGTTTTTCTGTCTCTGGCTACTACTGGCTAGGTACACTGACACACATGTGGATATAAACTACAAAACAATGTGGTCAGTGATAAAATAAGATGGACCAGAGGGAAGCTTTGCCAGAGAAGGGGTACACTGAGCTAAGGTCTTCAAAGCTGAGGATGGGCAAATACTCGGGCAATGCTTGTTGGCTGTGTCCTATGACTGCTTGGCAGTGTGCGGATGTGGCCTCACACGCGAGGAGAACCTACTGGTATGAATACAGAACCTACTGGTATGAATACAGTGTGGCTCCCATTCTAGGTGGCATCTCCCACCCATCCCCTCAAAATAAGAGAGGCCCAGATACCTGTCGATGAGGGAATCCCGCATGCTGGTAGCAATGGTGCTAGGCTGGGCTTCATTCAGCTTGAAGACGCTCTCCACCACTGACAGCTCTGTGCTGGTTGTGTCCAGGCCACAGAAGGCACACCAGTCGTTCACCACCATCCCGGCGGCAATCACCTCACTGCCTCTGTTCACAGTGCCCGCCTGCCAAGGGATAGCTCAGTGTGAATCATGGTCCCAACAGCCAAAGTCTCTCCACTTCCTGATAAGGACTCTCCCCAAACCCTGCTCCCTGACCCACAGACCCAATTCCAAACTGGGATAGTCATAACCCATATTCCCCAACACCAGGCCAAGGGATCTACCCCAGCAGGAGACAGAAGTCAGAAAATAGGAATGCTTACCACAAGGGGGACTTGAAGGAGAGAAGACAGCTCATCCTGGTCTTCAATTGAAGTCTTGGGATGTACCAGCCCTCCCTGATTGCTAAAGATACAGTAGCTTCCTACTAACACCTGGTCAGCCACTGTCTGTCTGAAGACTTCCACCTTGAGCACATCAGCCAGGATTTCTTCTGTTTCCTGTCAGTCAAAGGCACTGTGCTCAATGCCTAGAACAAGCAGATCAACTAACCCAGGGCCTCCACACCCACACCCACCCAGGGTGTGACTCCCTAAGTTCCTCATTCCAGCTCTGTAGCTGCACATGGAAGTTTCACACAGAAAAAGTGGGGATACATCTTGGAGCAGAGTCTAGGCTATGGAGCCCCTAATATCCACACATGCCCCACAGAGCCAGAGGCTGGTCTCCACATCACCCTCCTTCCGTCTAACCCATACTCAAGAGTTCAACTGTCAATCTTCTCTCCTGGCCTCGGCTGCAGGACTGAAGGGGTCAACCTCCCTGATTCTGAAGGATTAATACCCTCCTCAGCTTCTTTCTGACACTGATCACACCATGATCACCTTCATCACCATGAAGGCCTCTAATATCACTATTCCATTGAGTACCTAAACTGCAAGAGCCCAGGTATAAAGAAAAACCACAAGAGATATCCTTAATTCCTGCTTAAGAGGTAAGAACAGTGGCTAACCACTGACTAGGCTAATATCCTGGGACTCTTGGGCCAAGCTGGGCTGCCTCACCCTGTCCAGGTCTGGGTGGACCAAGGCCACATAGTCGTTGCAGGTGGTGACATTGCCCAGGGCTGAGAGCCGTTCCTCCACCCGCCGGATCTGCACTGAGTCTGGTAAGCAGTTGCGAATGTGTTGCAGCTCCTGGTCAGTGGTGTTGTTGGGCACCAGAAGACCATGCCGGTTCCCTGGAGAGACCCAAATTGGGGGTGGGGGTGGGGCAAGGATGGACCATGAATACCCAAGACACCTATTGAGCACTGGAGGCTGAGGTTACAACGCAACCCAATTAGCTTCCCCAGGAAAGCTTTAGACTCAGACTCCAGTCCTCCAACCCACTGATTCATACAACCCCCAGGGAGGGACCAGGAATCCCACTGGACAGGCAAGAGATGGCCTAGGAATCTGTCCCAACACACCCTGTCCAATTCGCCATCATCAACCAGGGCAGGACAGCACTAACAGGAAGGGTTCTTGGGCATTAGTCGTATATTTTGCTACTTAAAAATTGAGGTAATACTCTACACCTACCAGAATGGCTGATAAATTTTTAAAAACAAAGCCAATACCAAGTGTTGGCAAAGATATACAGCAAGCAATAGGACTGTAAATTGGTCAACCACTTCAGGTAATCAGGTATCATCTACTACTGTGAATATTCACATACCCTGTGACACTCCTCTCTTAGGTATTATATATCCAATAAAATTACACACATTTTTCCACTGAAAAAAAAAAAAAACAGCAGCACTACTCAGACCAAAGTGAAAACTACCCAAGTGCCCACTGTCAACAGAATGAATGCACACACTGTGGTATACTTACACAAAACACAACACACAGCAACATGAATGAACTACAATTATATTATGACAACAATGACTTAACCTCTGCCTATCTCTGCAAGGACACAACTCTGAACTCCTGAACTATAAATTTCTCCCATCAAAAAACAAAAAACAAAAAATCAGCAGTCAGGATAAGTTATCCCTTGCTATCTAAGAACTAACTTTAAGTCCAAAGGTCATGGTTAGGGATAAGAGTATTCTGCCTAAATAAGAAAATACTCAGAGTCCAGGCTTATTTTAAAAAACAAAGGAACAAAGTCTTACATGGCCCCAATTAGCAGAACTAGAAATAAGGGGTGGCAATAAAGGCAGACCGATCCCACTCAAAGAAAGGACCAATGATCAGAGTCCACAATGCTGAGAGGTAAAGGGGTACCCGGTGGCATGGTAAAGGGAATTTAAGATTTAAATGGATCGCTGAACAATGTGCTTCAGAATCTTAGTTTGTCGATTTCTAGAGGCAGAAATGGATGCTCAGAAGAGGATACAACTTGCCCAGAGTCAGTGCCAGAGGAGAAATGACTTTCCAATCTTTCATCAAACTAGGTGCGGTCCTGGGTGAATCACTTGGGTTGAGCATCAGCTTCCTCATGAGTCAAATTGGCCAATAATTCCTACCTCTCTGGATATTCGTGAAGAAGGAATGAAACAAGTGTAAACTGAAAGCCCTTACTGTTATTTGTGATTGCTATGATCCAGAAGCTTTCACCAGAAGTTGTCCCTGATCTATTGACACTTGACTGGGTCCAGCCCAGGCCTGAGAGTTTCTGTAATCTCCGGAGATAATGGATGAAAGCCTGGAAATCCCTGGGTCACTCGGAGTCCTGAGTACAATTAAAGGTTCTGGGAAGCTCCACTCCCTCCCTCGGCGTCTTCGGGCTGGCTTACCCACACACATGCGCCCGATGATACGGCAGCCGGCGATGGACGCGTGCACCACGGGGATGGTATCAGCGAGCTCGCCCTCGAACACACTGTAGGGAGACGGACTCGGTGGTCACGGGGCCGAAAGGCCAGAGCCCTCACTCTGCCGGAGCCCCCGACTCCCAATACCTCTTCCCGCCCCCTACCCACACACTGCCCGCCAGCCTGGGGCTCCCTTCCCACCTGTAAAAGTTCTCTGATCCTCCGATGGCCACCAGGCAGTAGGTGTTGGTAAGTTTGGCAAAGCAGCCGATCTCACAGTTGTTCTCGAAAGACGCGCGGACCGCCATGAAGCCTGGGGACTGCAGGGCAGGGAGTTCAGGGCCGGCGGATCCTCTCCCAGCCCCTCCGCGCGTCAGGCCCCACCACGACCCCGCCCCTCTCGGCTCTCAGACCTCGGGTCCCGCCCACTACGCCCCTCCAGGCTCTTTGGCCCCGAATCTTCAGGCCCCCACTCCTGACGACCCAGGACGCCCCGAGCTGACCCTTCCGGTGTCCTGCCACAACCGCTCACCAGGTGAGCCTCCACACGCGGCAACAGTCCTTCTCGGTCCTGGTTAGAGTTCCGTTTCCGCCTCCTCCCTGGGAGACTTCCGAGAGAGCCGGGAGCACGCCGCCACGCATGCGGCCACTCTAGCGCCAGCCTCTGGGCGGACTCTATGGTTGCAAGTGGCCGCGTCGCGACCCGTCCTGGCTCCGCCTTCAGCAAGCTCGCATTCATTCCTTGATTCATTCATTCATCTTTGTAGGGGGTTACAATCAACCGAGACCGAGATGTAAGGCATACGAATGGAGGAGCCAAAAAAAAAAAAAAGAATGGAGGAGCCAAGGATGTCTGGCACAAGATGGGTTGATGATGGAGATATTTACTGAAGTAAAGCCTGAGGAGGAAGAGCAGGTGTGGGGGAGATGACGAGTAGAGTGAGGTGCGGGACAGACGTCCGGCTGGATCTGGAGCCCAGGGGGGATAGAAGGGCTGAGATTTGGGGCGAAGTCTGGGGTGGATGAGGTCACCCATGGAGAGGTGTCCATTAGGCAGAAATAAGACCACGACAGAGGGTGAAGAAGAAGGCGCCACCAGAGAAGTAGAGGAAACCAGGCTGAAGAAGGTATTGGAGAGGGGAGGATGGATGGAGCAGTGTCAGGGAAGGTCCAGAGTGGGCAAAGGTGTGGGGGCTGACGTGCTTCCACTATGTGCCCCTTGCATGTGCTTGATCACACTCACCAGCCACTTTCTGCACCCCCGGGATAGATGGTGGCAGCCAAGGAACCTGCTCCGATGGACAGGATAAATTTGGCCCACATTTTGTAGAATTTACAAAAGTCCCAGGGTCACTCAGAATGTCACGGCGAGGGCACAGGGAGGCTTGGGGCCCCTTTCCCATCCCCCAGCCCTCCTGTGGCCATCTGTGCTCCTCCAGGGAGCCCTCTATAATTGACCTAAATGGTGCCCTTCCCCTGTCCTCAACCGTGCAGTTTCATACTCTGCCTTCCCCAGGATACACCAGGCTGCTGCTGGGTCATAGCATGTCTGCCTTTATTGATTTGTATCATGTATACAGTCACGGGCAAGTGGCAAGCTCAGGAAAAGGACCCACATCTGACAGAGCCTGTGCTTTTAGGGTCACTAAGCAAAATGACAGAGTCTGGGTGTCCATGTCCTTTCCATCCTCCCCAGTTCATCTCAGACCCACTCCCTCAATCCTCTCCCTGGCCCCTCTTCACCTGGTTCCCTCTACCAGGAATTCCTCTAACCCTCTCCTCTAGCTATCCAAATCCTTCCCACCCTTCATGGCTTAGCTCAAATGTTGCGTCTTCTAAAACACTTTTCTCACCACTCCATCATCACCTCCATCACTGCCCTTCATTCTCAACCACTTTCTGTCACTGTTAGCCTTTAATTAGATACAGCTCTGTCTTGCTCACCAATGGCTTATGCATTTAATCTTTTGTCTCCCAGGGACTGAGTCTGATTCATTTGTCAGCCTTATTGCATGCCCAGCACATGACTGGGTACACAGATTAGATACAAGAAGATACTGGTTGGTGCATGCATACTCGTCTGTGTGTGTGTGTGTGCGTGCATGCGTGCACATGCACGTGTTTATAGTCTGTGGATCCTGAGAGGTCTACAGTGTGCACTGAACAAAGCCATTAATTTAGCCAAATGACATTTATTGTGTAGAATCCTATAGCTAGAATCCTGTGTTTTGGTTTATGACATGGACATATGTGTATTATTGTGTGTGTGTGTGTGTGTGTGCAGTTTGTGCATGTGAGTCAACCCTGTCAGTGTGCTATGTATATTGTGCAGGCTTTTGGGGCATCTCTATGATATGTGGATTTTGTGTGCATGGGGACATGTGAACTGTTGATATTGTGTGTCCTGTCTGTGCAAAAACACAATGGTCAGAAATTAAGAATCAGAGACACAGGTTAGAGCCCCTGCCACTTACTTGGACCTGATTCCAAGCAAGTCATCAAACTCGCTGGGTCTCAGCTTCCGTATGTATAGAATAGGGAAGATACTACCTATGATCCTAGAACTGTAACCTTCTAGAGATCTATTTGTAGGATGTTGTGAGGATGAAGGATGAGAGGTAACCAGTGTGAAGTGCTCGGCACAGTGACAAATGGCAGGCGCCCAGTAACTGTGGTTCCATTTCCCAGTGTGTGTGCATGTGCATGTGTGTAAGCAAGAATCCTGAGCCCAGGGGATATCTAACCTGGGCTTCTAGACACCCTCTCCCCTCCATACAGCCAGTGCCCAAGCTCCCACCCCAGAGTCTGGCACCTGAGTAAATCTAGAGTCTTAATGGATGGAGAAGGGACATGCCCTTTCTGGGAGCAGGACTAGGACTCAAAGCGGCTTCGGAGCATCTTGAACTTGGACTTGTTGTACTTAGTGATGAGGTCCAGTTTGCTGTGGCCCAAGGTCAGCCGTTTCTCATCCCCAGACAGGCCATTGCTATTGCCATTGCAATGGCCATCTGTGGGGCCACCTGTGGGGCTCCCTGGGAGGCCAGGCTCAGGTCCCTGCCTGGTGCCTGGCAATTCATGATACTTGGTGATGAGGTCCAGCTTGCTGTGTCCCAGAGTCAGCCGTTTCTCATCTGCAGAGTCCACTCCAGCCTTTCGAGCAGGGCTCGGTCTGGGGAGATCACTGGGCCCTGGCCCCTCACCCCGGAATGGGCCAAACTTTGTGATGAGGTCCAGCTGGCTGTGACCCAGCGTCTGCCGTCTCTCATCTGGACCCTGCTTGCCAGCCCTGGCTGAGGAGTTGGCTTCAGGAGGCACTCTAGAGCCCCCAGCCTTGGGGGACTGCATCAGGAGGTCCAGTTGGCCATGACTGTGGTTATGGGAAAACCTCTTGTCCTCTGGGGTCCGATTGCCAGGTCTGGGGCAGTCTGAATCAGGGGCACCTTGGGCCTCAGACAGGAGATCCAGCTGGTTGTATCTCTGGTTTGGGTCCAACTTCCTGTCCTCTAGGGCCTGCTCACCAGGCCAAAAAGAGCCTGAGTTGGGGGTAACCCCAGAATCAGGGCCCCCGACTTCTCGTGCTCTGGTGAAGGGGACAAGGAGATCCAGCTGGCCATGGCTCTGACTCAGAGACACCTTATTCTCCTCCACTGCCTCCAGGGCTGTCCCAGGTACCCAGCGGCCTCGTGGGGGGCTAGGTCCCTGACTTCCCAGGACCCCATTCTCTGGGAGCTGGGACAGAGCTGGAACACCCCGGGAGAAGGGAAAGAGGGGGCCAGGGCGAGCAAGCAGAGGTGACCCTCCTGCCAGGGTCGTGGGGCTGGCGCTATTGTAGTTGAGGGCAGGGGAGGACTGGGACCATGGGGATGCTCCCAGCTTGCCCAAATTGGCCCTATAGGGCCCTAGCAGGGGGCCGTGGTTAGGGTCTGACAGCTGGCGTTGCAGGGAGGGCTGGCCATTGGCCCCACAGCGGGCAGGGCCCGGGGATGAGGACCCCACACCCATGTCACTCGAGCCACTGCCTCCTGGTAGAGCAAGGTAGGAGGAGTGGCCCATGAGAGATGAGCGCTTGATGCTACTGAGGCTGGTGCTGGAGGGTGATGAGGATGTGGTGCTGGGGATGCCGGGCCCAAAGGCCGGGGCCACTGCGGGAGGGCATGGTACCCTTGGAGGTAGGGTATCTTCTCCTCCGCAGAAGCCCTCCACGGGCTGTGACTCAGCATAAAGACAGCGGAACTCCCGGTCAAAGTCTTCCACAATGCGGCCCCTCAGCTGCAGCACCATGCTAGTGTGGGCCTGGCTGCAAAGCCAGGTGAAGCTGGGGGCAGAGGGTCAGGGTCAAGAGGTAAAGTACAGGACCGTGAGGCCAGGCAGGAGTCACAACAAGGGGAGCAAACCAAGACAACACCACCACCACCACCACAAGGGCCCAAGTGAGGGGCAGAGCGCTGTCTCCAGAGTCTGTGTTTGTGCTAGCTCAGCTTAGCGGACTTGGGCACATGGTTTCCCATCTCCCTTCAACTTTCCCATCTGTAAAATGGACCAGGGACCAGGTTACCTGAAGTCCCTCCAGTTCTGAGGTGCAGGAGTTATTTTCTATGCCAAGGACATTAAAGTAATCCTCCCACAGAATGAGCTCCTCCCCCTGGGCCCAGCCCGGAACTGACTTGCTCCCCATAGTCGCCCCTGAGCACACGGTGGCTGCTCAGTCCATGTCGGAAGGGGTGGATGGAGGAAGAGAAATTCAAAGCTGCCAGATCCCAGGCACCCTCACCAGCCAGTGGCCCAGCTCCAGGCCCCTCCTCCCCACCCGCTTCCACTTGCTCACCTGTAGCTGCCCGCCACCACCTGCTCACAGTCAATGATGACGAACTTCTCCAGGGCCTGCCCGGTGAAGCGGCGGCCTGCCTTGCTGCAGTACGTGTCCCCACATGTGCTCCGCACACGCATGTTCTGGGCCACAGAGGGAAGGAGATTGAGGGGGTGACCTTGAGAGAATGAGGCTCAAGCCATGTTTAAATCCCATGGGGTCTCTGACCCAAAATAGCTAGGAGAGCCAGGCCCCAACTCCCATTGACACCCATCAGTGTTCACTGACCAACCAACCAACTCTTCTGCCCTCCCTGACTCCCCTCCCAACACCCTGGTTCCTGCCCTTGTCCCTCACTGACCAGCAGGTGTCCCCCAGTGATGTCCATCTTGTAGCACATCTCCAGGAAGTGCCTCAGGTGCTCCTGAGCCAGGAGCAGGTACACAGGGACACCACGCCGGCTTGAGGCCTCCATGAGGTCACACAGAAGCTCCATGTCCGTGAATATGTCCATCACCACGGCTACCACCTGGGGGAGGCAGGGGCAGCTCAGCCCTGCCCCAGGGCTCTGCCCAGCCCAAGGGCAGGGGCCGGATCCCAGGAAAAGAGCACTAGACTGAAAAGCAGGAGGCCGGAACCTGCAGAACATCTGACCTGGGAGGGCTTTTAATGATGACCCAGGCCAGGGATTCTTAACTTAGAAACAGGTTTCACTGCCTTGAAGTGCAGAGACTGTTTGAAAGTTTTTGTGTACATTTTTCTGAGGACAGTTTGTTTGCCTGTCATCAAGTTCTCAAAGATGTTTGTGGATAGGCTGCACTAGCCTAAAGCTCTGCTCTGCACTTGGGGAAGCTGAGGCCCAGAGGAGGAGTCAGAAGCAGACCCCGATTTCTGGTCTAGCCCCTCATGCTCCCCCTACTAGCTCTAGCTGTAGCTCTGACCACGGACTGTCTGTCTGAGGCTCTCTTCTCAAGGATCAGAGCTGCAAGCCAGTTCCTGGGGTCTTCAGTACCCTTTACCAGACCAACCTGTTTCCCTGTGAAGCTGCAGAGGTCTGGTGTGACATTTTACACCCACAGACTCCCTCACTTCCACCCATGCCGATTGGGACCACGTTTTCTGCTCAGCTGAGGGGCTGGGGCTGGCAGTAGCTCCTGTGAGAACCTCCTCTCCCAGTCCAGACTGAGAGGCAGGAAGCACAGAGCAAAGCACTCAGCTCTGGAGCCAGACAAAACTGGGTTCGGATCTGCACTCTGCTGCTTCCTAGTGATATGGCCTTGGGCGAGTTGCCTCACCTCCGGGATCCTCAACTTCCTCATCTTTAAATGGAGATAATGATAGCCACTGCTCACAGTTATGGGGAATTAGATGCAAAAATACTCAACACACAACAGAAGCTCACTAAATGTTCCTTTCGTGCTGCCTCCTTAACAAATGAGGATGTTGGGCTGCAGAAGAAGGAATCACTTCCCAAGGTGACTCAGAGTCAGTCAAAGCCCAGAGCAGAAGCCTGTCTCCTGGCCCGGAGGTGGAGGGTCTAGATGGGGGATCTAAGCCAAGGCAATGGGGGATGCCCTAGTCTACAACACAGGCCTGGCCAGGGGTGGGGGAAACAAGGACAAGCAAAAAAGATCAAAGGAGCAGGGGTGATGACAGCACCCACCTCGATAATAACCCCATTCCCGGTGCCAATCAGGTCTAGCCCTCCCCTGCCCAGGGCGTAGGCAGGCTTACCAGGGAGGCTCTGGAGGTGCTGGTGGGATCCCAGCATTCTGGCTTCTAATTTCTGCAGCAGGTACCCTCCAGGCTGCTCCCCTAGCAAGGGGACTGAGTCAAACCCACCTCAAACCCTGCCTAGGGTCATCTGGTCCATTCCCCTGCCTCCTGAATCAGAGGTCAGTGCTACAGGAGTGAAGCAGTGCTGCTCTGTAGCTGGAACCTTCCCAGGAACCCACACCCCTACCTGCTCTCCCGCTTCCCTTTCTCCTGAGCCCCTGATCCCTGTCCCTGAGCCAGCAGCCTCTACTCCTCTTTACTTAGGGGACAAGAGCTAAAAGCCCAACCCTCAAAACCATGCCGAGGTCCTGGCACCGGTACCTTTTCCCCTGCTTAAGGCTGGAGATGTAGTGCACGAGGGGCGAGGTGCAGTTGGGGCCATGCATCAGGAGGCAGGGCTGTGCCTGGGACCCAGGGCCTGGGTCTAGACTCCTTTCCATCTCCCTGAGCCCTGGGTTCTAATTCACCAACTGACTGGACCTCCCTGGGTAAGTCCCAGCCCGTCTCTGGCCTCAATTTCCTCCTCTGTAAGTCAGGGGGTGGTTCAGATGTTCACCAAGGTTGGGGTTCTCAGTTTTGGGGTCACAAACATTTTTGAGAATCTGATGAAGGTCATAGACCTTCTCCCAAGAAAGATAGAGAGGATCTCGCTCTGCAATGAACACCACTTTGCATGCGTTTTCAGGGTGTTTGTGGAGTCCCCAAGGCCCATCCCCTGTTGTATGTTTACGCATAATGTCCGTGAGTGCCAAGGGCTTACCAAGGTAAATAAAACACACACCTACCCTCCAGGAGCTTGTAATCTGATGGGGGCAGAGATTCTAGTCCCAATGCTGCTCCTAAACTGCTATGTGGCCTTAGGCTGGTCCCTGTCCCTCCCTGGGCCTCAGTTTCCACATCAGTGAAATGAATGTCTGAAGAGATGAGGCCCTTACCGTGCGGGCCTGGCTGAAGAGAAAACGCAGAAGGTCCTTGATGTTCTTGGCCTTGTCCCGCTGGAAATGGACCACAGCCTGGGTGGGGCTGAAGCCCGTGGCCTGTGGAACCTCCGGCCAGCCCAAGTCCAGGTCCGGGGGTTCTATGTCGGAGACCATGGGGAAGTAAGTGCCTGAGGTGACTTCTGAGAGCAGGCTGAGGCGGTCAGGCCCCGAGGCCTCCAGTCCCTGGGCCTCGCTGAGCTCAGGGCCCCCACGTACATGGCTGATCATGTAGTCCACATCCAGAGCACTCAGGAAGGGCAGCTCCCGCTCCTCGGAGATGACCCGCAGGTAGGCAGCCTCACCTCGTTCCAGGAGGGCGTCGGCCGCCAGCCGGGCTGCCTCACTGTGCTGTAGCACCAGTGGTGGGCTCTCCCGCCACCATGGCCGCTTCAGCTCCTCCACCCGGCCCCGCAGGGGCCCCGCCATGCCCTGAGCCCCCAGGCCCCCAGGCCCTAGGCCTCTGAACATGCCTGCACACCTGGCTACCCTCACCCTCCAGCAGGCTCCATGGCCTGCACCATGCTCTGGCTGCAGCAGGAAGAAGATACCAGCAGGACAGCCTCCTGCCTGCCTGCCCTGTGTGTGGCAGGGCCCCCAGCCTGTTGTCACCCTGTCAGAGCCATGCTCCGCCCCATTGCCCCTGGCCTCTGGAACCTGTTGGGTCAGCCTCACCTGTCTGCCCGCTGTTGGGACTCGCCCGCCCAGGGAAATGGCAAGCCCTTAGCACAACCTCCTCACCCCACCCCCCGCAGCTCCACCCCAGCATCACCTGCCGCATTTCCACCAGACTCCTAGCAAGTTTCCTCCAAACCCTGACATTCCAGAGTCCCAGTGAAAAATGCTGTCCCACCCTTGAAAAATGCTGTTCCAGATGTCTGTGTTTCCAACACCCTCAATTCCAGGAAGCTCTTGACCTGGTGGGGCCAGACCCCAGCCTTCCTCCCCTCCTCAGGGACTGAGTATTAAACAGTTAGTGAGAAAGTTTTGAGAGATTGGGGTGGGGGGCACTGTAAGGTCAGAAGGCAAACAGGGCAGGCCAGTTTATGTTCTCTGTCCCCAGCAAGGGTATTAGTCCCAAAGCCCTCAGGAGCATGGGTGAGGCTTTGTGCTGGAGAAGGTGGTGGTGGTCAGCAGATGGCAGCTAGTTAGGGAGGCAGGCCAGG